CTCACTCTCACTCTCACTCTCACTCTCACTCTCACTCTCACTCTCACTCTCACTCACACTCACACTCACACTCACACTCACACTCGCACTCACTCAGCACTCACACTCACACTCGCACTCACTCAGCACTCACTCTCCCACTCTCACTCACACACACACACACTCTCACTCTCACCCACACTCACTAACACCCACCTTCACTCTCACTCACGCTCACTTATACTCACACTCACACTCACTCTCACTCTCACTCTCACTCTCACCCACACTCTCACTCACACTCGCACTCACACTCACACTCCTCTCACCCACACTCACTCACACCCACCTTCACTTCATCACCACCATCACCTCTTTGGACCCCAATGCGTCTAGATCTCTAGACTTTCTGCCTACAGACCTCACACACACTGTTTGGGGTCTCTGCCTGGATAATACTTTTGGCAGATAGCAAGAGCTTTTGGGGTTCTTACTTCAAGTATTTCCCCAGATAGCGAGAGCTAATGGGGTTCTTACTTCAACTATAAGAAGAGGTGCCTGTGTGTGCTTTGGAGCTTGGGTGCTGGTCCGGTGCAGGGTACCGCGGAAGCGCTGCTGCAACGTGTTTTTGGCCATGTGCGCTGGTGCTGGTGCCGCTGGAGGGTGCTGCAGAGTGCCGCTGCAGTGTGGAGTCTCTTAAGGGTCTATGCCGGCATAGTTCAAGTATAAGAAGAGGCGCCTGTGTGCTTAGGAGCTTGGGTGCTGGTTCCGCTACAGCATGCCGCTGCCAGGCCCGTGGCCGTGTGCGCTTTGGAGCTTGGGTTCTGGTGCTGCTGCAGGTGTCGCTGCTCACAAACATTATGTTTTGTTAATCTGGGGTCGTTGGGGTATTCGGCTTTTGTTCAATGATGCAAGGTTTTTTTTGGGGCTCACAAGGTCACCTGTGTTGGTGGCAGTCTCTTGGCCGCTGTGGCCTTCATACTCTAATTAGATGATTTTAAGGGACGAGCACGCGCTTGTGCACTGGAAATGGAGTATACTTTCCGTTGCACAAGCGCGTGTTCTTATGAGTATACTTTGTTCAGGAACGGTGCGTTTTGGGAGACCCCCACCCATTAGATTGTCTGGTGGTTGTAGATTGCCTGTTGGTTGGGTCCGTGTTCTACTCTTCAGAGCCTGTTGCCACCCTTCCCCCCACCCCACCCATTAGATTGTGTGGTGGTTGAATCTCCTTCACCGTCTCCCCTTTGAAAGTGTGAGTGTTCAGTGCCCGAGTGAGGTAAAGTGCGCATGTGAGGTAATTTTCCAGTGCGCAAGTGACACTAATGAGTGCTTGCCAACTTTACAGTAAGAGGGTGTTTCCAGCCCTGGGAAGAATTGTTGCGTGACAGTGTCTTGCTTGTGCAGGGGTCCCTTCATGTCGTGCTCGACCATGCTTGTTGGGTTGTTGGGTCACCTGCAGCGCATGGGCCATGTTTGAGGATTCTGCCATTCTTTCTGCCAGCTGCCCATCTTCTGCGTACGACGCGACGGGGCTTCAATATGGATTTCCAGAGACTTGGCGAGTTGCCCTGCTAGTATATTCAGCACTGTGCTCTTATGTGTTTGCTGTTTGCTTTGACCTCAACAGCTTCCATTTTCTCACGCTTGTGATGAACTCCGTGTATTGCTGTGCTGATTCTCTCCTGTCCAACCTTCATGTCAAAGATTGGTGGGCCACATAGAAACACAGGAGAGCCCAAAATGTAAACTTGAAGCTTCTCCATTTGTAAATGCGTGTGTTCCAGAACATTGCAACAAGTAGTCTGATTCCCCCCACAGTCACCAAAGTTGTTTATAGGTGGTTTTTCTTTGGCCCGCGGCGCACAGCCAAGGAGCGGCAGACTGGCTCAGATCAAAGCCCGTTCCTTGACGTTGGGCAAGGGCACCAAACTGATGGTTCGACCAATCAATGCAGTGAACCGTGGTACAATAGGCCTACTCATAACAAAGACCTTACGTAGCAGGGGTCAAGATGGCTGCAGTGAGAATGCCAGGTCAGGAAGTTTGAGCGTTACGAAGTGACTAACAGCCATTTGCAAGGGCTGGAAGCAGTCCATCCCCCTTTGTTGTGATCAACGGCCATATTGGAACACAGAGCTAGCTGAGGGTATCAGAAGATGTGCGCAATCTCCTGGTAGACCATTCTTCGTTCTGCGATGAGCGCTCGAAGCGAAGTCTATTGGCAGCTTGGTGTAGAATTGATTTCTCGCTCTGGTTGTACAAGGTAGCAGACCTGAAGCTAGTCTGTGGGGCACATGTGTGTCACGAAGAGTGTAAAAAGATTGACAATGCATGACAATTGTGGGTTTCTCTGATTATCTTTCTCATGCACACTTTGCTGACCGCTGGAGATTTGTCAAGGACCTTGATTCTTTGGCCGGAATTATGAAGGAGTCCGACGCAGCAGTGCATCTTGCACTGCATTGCCATAGCTTTTTGTGTTCCAATTCACTAATGTTTGGCTGTCCAATCAACGCCAGTAGACGTTTCATCAGCCCAGCCCTTCCAAGGAAGGCAACGATTGGGCAGAACGTCATTGTGCTGATGGGATCCACTGGATCCGGGAAGACGTGTTTCATGCACACAATTGCAGGCCTGCTGTTTCAAGCGGGCTTCTTTGTGAATTCCCGCACTCTTCCTTCCGAGCTGTCTGATGTCAGGCCAGGAGCTGATTCCCAAATCCAATGGTCTTTCCAGGGATGGTTGGGTGCCTTGGTTTGCTAGCTTCGGTGTTGACCAAGTAAATCAGATGTGATTCGCTTGTTCTAACTGCAGAGAAGTGTGAGCCAACATTTTTCAACTGCTTTAGTCCAAAAATTGTAAAAGTGAATTGCCCACATAATATGACTAGAAACAAGTGCATCGCTTCTAGTAACAAGTGCCTTACTAGTAGTAACAAGAAGCTATTAGAAACAATAAGCATGCCCATCCGAGTCGAAACAAGGCTCTTCCAAGAGCTGAGGAAGCCAAGCATCCCATGGAGGGCTTTACTATTGGCCACACTCAGCGATCTGAGACGTTGCCTGGCGCTGAAGTTCTAGCTTACTTGAAGACTCGCAGTCTTGAACCAATCTTGTAGGGCAACGTAAGACCTGACAACAGCCACCCATGGAATAGGAATGATGCAGAATCCTTGCTCATTGCAGCGGAGACCAACCCTCCCACATCCGATCAATAGCTTGGTCCAGTTAAGAATGTACGAGACAGAGATGGCAACAGTGCAGCATTTACTTTACAAGAAACTATGTGGATCTTTTTGCAAGAAGGGAAATAGACCACAGCATCTCAGCACCGGCTACCAATTGGCGTCCAATTAAGGGACAGCTTTGAGAGCCCAGCTGCCAAACCAACATTTACCACGCTGCACCTTGTAAGTGTCACAATTGCTTCTGAGGAGTGAAACATCTTGCCGCCTTTCCCAATTGACTCTGAAAATCAGGATCCTGAAGCATCCCATATATTCATTGCCTTTTCGTTCTCTCCCTAGCCTCTTAATCAAACTGATTGAGCTTGCCGACGGGGCAGTCACTTCCTTGGTTAAGGCGAAGTCTCAGGGCCTTGAACGTGAAGCCGGATGTGGTTGTGGTGGATGCGCCGGGGCAGTCCGATACGCGAGGCGATGACATTGAAATTGCCACCTCTGCGGCATGTAGCCAGATTGCGGAAAATTGCAGGACTCCTGGTGTTGATTTCGGATGGCAGTCTTGTGAGTTTTGTTTGCCAACTTGTAGAAAACATCTATTTGCAGTGGGACTGGGGCATGTTCCTGATCGGCCTTTGTCCAGCCCTGACCTCTTGAAAGGAGTGGATTTTTGAAGGAGTTTTAGGGGACCGTCTTTTTTCTTGCTGACAATCATGATTCTCTCAGCGATTTGAAGCTGTGACTGTGAGAAGTGTAGCTCTAGAATTCTTGCTTGCAAATCTCCTGGTCTCGAGAAAACCAAGCAAGGGTGAATCGTTGAACTTATTGCCAGAAGCCCCAAAAAGTGTAACGAAGCACGTATGCAGTCAAGAAGCAGTGAAGTGGCACCAGTCCGGAACGGCCTTTTGACTGTTCGATTCTACTCCTTTATAGCAGGCTTGAGTGTAGCAGCATGCGGCGGCTCCTACCTGATAGGTTTGGCATCTGAACAAATCATCAGAAGGTCCTTAAGTGTTCAAGCCGAGCTTGATGGAGAAGGAAGAGCATGAGCGGCCTAATCCTTGCACAACCTTCTATCTACGTAAGCCGCGGATAATGTGGTACTTGCGTTCGAAGCAAAGTTACCTTATCACAACCTTCCATGCATTAGTCTCCACTTCCACCCGTAGCAAAGCGAAGCTGTTTCTCGCCGTCGGGTTGGCAGAGGGTCGCTAGTTGCGTACCGGGCTAGGGTTGGCAATCCATGCGCCTACTATGGTAAAGTCAAGAGCAAAGTCTACTTCACTGCTTCGTTCTTCTCCGCTTGGGCTTTGCCTCTAACACCTTTGTCAACCGATGCCATCGTTGAAGTGTTGTGTTGCCACCATGTGGTTTCTGAGGAGGCCACAGGTATGTGAAAAGCATTGAAAAGGATACTTCAGGTTGTCCTGAAGCAATCACTATTTCAACATTGCTGTGTTAAAGATCAAGTGACTGCAAGTTTATCTTTTCAACACAATTTCGACACGTCTCCGTGATGAGAGGTCTTTTGTTTGTAGTTGTGGCTGACTCTTGTTTACCTGGCCGCAGGATGCTCCGTTTTGTGGTGCTGATCAATTGTGCCACACTACTTTCGGACCGAGCTCAGGGATTGCGGCGGATCGCAGAACTGGTGGCCAATGTCATGCCAGACTTTGGAATTCGCAGGTTGGGACGAAGAGAGTTGGGACAAAGCACTCTACATGCCACACTGGATTTGCTAAGTTTTGCTGAAGGGACCATCCTTATGCAGCAAATTTCTTCTTCACGCACGTGGAGGCAGGCATAAAAAATGGCAGTTGCATCAAAGGCTAAGGTGATACGTGATCCGGAAAACGTTGAAAAACTGTTTGTTTTCTTGAACAGCGCCGCCTTAAAACCAATGAGTTTGCCGAGGTCCTTAACCTTCAGGAGAAGCTGGACCCCGAATCTGCACGCCATCAAGTGTATGTATGGCTTCGCGAGGTCTTGGGTGGAAGCGAACTTGATGCTGAGTCTTAGCTGTTAGATCTACCAGCATGGCATGTTGATGGATGTGCATGCAAACCCATTGGCCAAGGACAGCTATGCACCTCTCAATTTTATGCTCAAATCTATGGAGCTTGATCAGGAGGGGAAGATGCCCAGGCAAGGACTTTTCCTCGAAGCTTCTTTTTAACGGGCTGGAGTTTTTTGTCCTGGCAGCCTTCGGCCGCAGGCTTGTCGACGTGTACAATCCAGCCTGGACGACTCAAGAGTCGTTGTGCACGGCAGTAATGCGATTTGGCCCAGACTTTGCGCTCGGTCGATGCCTAAGTTGCTGAAAAAGATTTGGTAAAAGGAGCTTGCTTCGAAGGATTGGGCCAGCAAACCTTTCATTACCAGATCTCGTCCATGGATTTCGTAACTGCACAATGCCAAAATCACACATCATTTATCGTAGTCCAAGTGCTTCAGGTCAACACGGGGACAGCACGAGAGCGAGTTCAATCGGTGCTTTACTATTGCCTGCAAGCAAGGCACCTGAGCACCAGCGTTAAATTGAGGGTGGCTGATTAGCAATCATTGCAGGGCGCGCCAGCGCACCAGGATAGTTCAACATCTCTGAGCACTGAGGGGCTTTCACGCATTAGAGAGGTGTGTGTAAACCTTGGATGTGGCTAGTGTGTCAACGTTACATCAATCTGTCAATAAGGCACTGATGCACTTAGCTTTGACAGAGCCTTTTTGAGCAACTCGTTGTTGTCAGTTAATTATGGTATTTGCCATCGCATTATGTTGGTGCTTGGAACATATGGACCGCATCGTCCAAAGCATCTTGATTACATTTCACTAGAGCCTGTGCGAGTGGAACAACCTTGGAAAGAGTTCCAAGTTTTGGCCGGCAGAGTTTGAGATCTTCGAGGAGTATATAGGTCTATCTGCCCAAGAAGCCTGCGTAAACGGGCACGCAGCGGCGTGATTGCCTACGTTGCCGTCATTTGTGCGTGCACACGCTGGGATCAGCCCCCGTTTCCGCAAAGACTGCCCAATCAGTCATAGCAGGGCAGCGTTCATGGTGAGCGCCGCGCATCGTCAATCGGGACCAGAGCCAGGGTAATTGCTCCTGGGACCTTTGAAAGAGGTTGACTTGGGCCCAGACGTTGTTTGATCTTTAGGTTTGTCCCGCATTCCCGGTCTCTGAAAGCCTACCCTGTAGGTTTCCCTCGCATAACATTCAGCAGGAGACTCGGTGTTTGTCGCAGCTGGCATCAGAATTCCTCAGTTGCAAAGACTCAAGCAATTCGTCACTATGCTTCTCGCCGCCAGCACCGGCCTTGCCTGAGGGCAATTCCAAACTTCCCTTCCTCTTGCCCAGCTTTGCCGCCAGCATGGGCATAAGTCATGTGGTGCGCCCTGTCCATGCCCAACTGCGCTGACGTCACACTCTCTTTTGGCAATTCAACACTCCAGTAAAGCCAACCTCTCAACACGGGGTTGCACCCTAACCGACTGGCAAAGGCCAGGATGGTTGGATGAAGCTACTTTCAGGGAGTTGGAGAGCTGCGTGAGCAGGTTGCAATGGGCAACATAAGCCGGCCTGCTGAAGCACCTAATCAAGTCCAATGAACCTCTGTGAAACTCAACCACTTTTCTTCAGACCGCTTCCTAATACGTGGGGGCCAGTAATCTCACATGTGGGCTGACAAGAACATGAAAACGGCCTGAGGAGTTGGGCTCAAGGGTAAACGTCGCAGAGAGGGGCTTTCTATGTAATTACTTGCGACGCTTGTGCCTGCCTTTAGAGCGCCAGTATCCAATCTCTAGTTGGAGTCAATTCCCGTTCTCTCTTCCACATTGGTGGCTGTTGGGAAAGGTGGATCTCATCCTGTGCTTGCCACGTGGTGGCTGAAACAAACAGATGCAAACAGAGATGTAACCAACGCGTGGAACAAACCGAACCTGCCACCATTGCTGCTGCTGCTGCTGCTGCTGTGGTTTTATCTCAACCCCCTGACCTTGGATGGATGTAGGCCAAGCTGGGCTGTCCTGGGTTGCATTGCAGGCTAAAATAGAGCGCATGCTGCTGACCAGTCGGGAGGAAGTTCGGGTCAAGTTGCAGCAAGCCAATCCTGAAGACGTTCCACATTTGAGTACCTTGGCAGCTACATGTTGCAAGTCTGACAAAGTTTACTATATACATGCGAAAAGTTGCAAATCTGCAAGCGCTCTTTTGTAGCACATGCTACTTTTCTGATTTGGACAGCATTTTGCCCTTGTGGTGCCACTGTGCAGATTGCCAGGTATTTTGCGGCACAACCTTGAGCTCGTGAAGGAATACCTGATGAGCCTGCCAAAGGTGGCGGCTGCAATAGATGAGATTGCCAACCTGTTCTTGTGTAGGTTTCAAGATCTACAGTGGCTTGATGTTCAAAGGTAGACTTGTGACATTGAGGCGTGGATCCACCGATCCAGAACTCTTTGTGCGCCTGACACTTCTAGAGTATTTCTCTAAAGTTGTTGTAAGCTTGTGTAGGTTTCACAAACCCAACCATGGAGTAAGGAGATTGGATATCCTAAAGGTTCGAAGAATGCGGGATGTCCACTTCCAACACAAAAACAACCGCAGTTGGCAGTCGTGCTACATTTGGATGATTGCTTGAGGCTAGACGCTTTCAACTTAATCTCGAAAATCCACGGTGATGAAGATTTTGGTGAAATGGATGCCAAGCAGTTGTGGCATCTCATTTGCGATTTATGTTTTTGTCGAACTACGCTGCAGGTCTGGATTCTGTTTGATTTTAGCCATGAGAACCTTGCAGTCTTTGGGGTTCATTCCATTGCTCTTTTGCCCGGCTTTTCCTCTGATCTTTGCAGAGTTTGAAGACCTCCTTGAGGTTGAGTAGATAAAGGTTGTCGCGTCTGCGCCTTTGGGTTGTGGTGTGCATTTCATACCATACCTCATACGCCCACATTATCATCAGTTTGAGGAGCACCATTGGCTTTTTGGAAGGCATTGCTTCTTTGGGGCCGGGCAATGATGCAATGCCAAAGTGTGAAGTTGGCCACTTCCAGAACAGGCTGGAGAGTTACCTGGTGATTTCTTCAGAGCTTTCTGTGCTGCCTGAATCGTCAGTTGAAAAGAGCTACGATGTTTACATGCCTTTCAAAGTGGAGCTTTCTCTGAGCTGTTTAGTGTGTACACTACTTACTTGTGCTGTGTCGGGTTGTGTGTTTGAGACGCTTTCAAACGCAGCTTTGCCATCACTCAAGGTTCCTTGAAGATGTGCCTTGACAACGTGAAAAGGGCCTGCGATGGAGCTGATATTGAAAGTCTGCCGCGAACCCATCAATTCATCCGATGGCAATCCAAGATCCGTGCTTGGAGTAGCATCAAGCCCGACTTGTCTCAGCAAATGGATTCTTTTCTGCAAGGATACATCGACCAGGCTGGGACAGCAACAGTATCCATCTTGTTGATCAGGGATATTTCCAGAATAAAGCAACAGTTCCTCCTTCATTGATGTTGTTTGGCTTGGGTGTGGGGTGGAACGTTTGGCCGTGGCCAGAGGCCATTGGGGGTGCATCAAAGCATCCTGACGAGCTTCATGCTCATGTACTTCTGGTGGCGAGGCTGGAGAACATAAGCGATATTGCAACACAAATGCCTGGCTTTGGTGATGCTGCCAAGATAGACGGGGCATTGAAGGATGCGGAAGAATGCTTGGAGAAGCACTTTGAACACATCTTCGAGAGCGCTTCTCAAGCGGCTAACGCATCGGTCAGAGCAGTCTTGGAGTCTCCTGAGTCAGACTCTGTGGACTTTGTAGTGCTAAAGACAGTAGGGAAGGAGCTAAAAGAGAGCAGATCAGCATGGGAGAGTGGCCTTGAAGCAGCTTCAAAGACACATGCTCGCGTTGTCAAGTGGTACGAACGCCTACAAGGAGCGGCGACTGGCTGGCTTGACTCCTTGCAGGAGCGCAACAAGGAGATGCTTGACACGGTCGGTGTGATCGCTGCAGGTGGCAACAAGTCTGACACTTGTCTAATACTGTCGGTTTTCTCTTGAATATAGGACATTGAATCTGACATGCTGCTGCAAAACAGAGACGAGGTCTTTCAGGTAGTTTGTGCTCCAGGGCCGACCAAAACCTAGCCGCTTCACAAGAGATATACAGTATTTATAAATTTTTCAGGATGTGGATCTTGCCACTGGTGCCTGTTGCAAGAACCTCTATTACACCATGTCCGAGCTCGTAGATTCCTTGCCAGATGTTGACAGACAAAATTGCATGAAGAGCACGTGTGATGTCGTGCCTCGGCCGGTGTGTTGTTGAGGTCGTATCATGTGCAATAAGGACTTGCTGTCAAACCTCCGTCAAACATTTAGCATGTTTCTTCAATATTCCGAAATAGCGTGCCACAAATGAGACAAGCCAGCCACAGAACCCGCAGTTGAACTGGAGGTGCTGCTCGACACCTTGAACTGTTTTAACGGAGTGAGCTCTGCCGCCTTGACCTTGTCTACACAAGTTGTGCGGCTCTCGGATGGTCAGCAACTTGCTCACGTTTCCAGATTTCGACGTTGGAACCCAGATTGGCAAACCCAACATCATGAGAATTCTGGAATGTTCCAGCTTATTCTTAGGACATTTACAGTATTACCCGTTCTCCATCAAATTTGTTGTCGATTCACTTGACTCGAGCTGTGGTGCCATGTTGCTCAAACTCGTGGGTGGTAGGTGCATTCTTCCTGTAATTTCCCACATACTCCGCATTGCTTAGGTCAATGGCTCTGCCACCCAGAGCATACTTCAGAGCCTGCGAGTGCCTTTCGGCTGTGCTTGATAGACCACATGATTGGCAAATGTTCCAGCCTTCAAAAGCTACATTTGTCCGTGAATGAAGGGGACAATAAACAGCCATGTTGAAACATATTTGCTTGCTTCTATCTCCCTTCAAGTATATGTTTGGGTCCTAGGCTCATTGAAGTACTTCAAGGCTTTGCCTGGATGGACATCGCCAAGGATGCGGATGCTCCAAATAGTACGTTGGACAAACTCCAGTTTCTTGACCTATTGGAAATGCAATTTTTCATCCCCTTCTAGCAATAGAGACTTATGGCCCGACTTTGAAAGCAGATTTCTCTCTGAAAGCAAACTGCAGAATGTGGCTGTGTGGCCTAATTTCAAGTTCTGCGCTGAGCAAAGTCTTCAGAAAAAGCCCAATGTCCACGGCGGCTTGATCTCAGGAAGCAGGTCCAGGAGTATTCCGACGAACTGTACCGTAGCCTCTGCACTTTGCTACGTACTTTCCTGGAAACCTCTCCGGTGAAGCGATCCCTTTCGAGCCTTGGCCGGTTTCAGGCTCTCGTAGCACGCATGCTAGGCAGTGCAAATCTTCGCTCAGGAAGTTTCTACGTGCCTGGAAGGAGTTTCAAGGGCTGAGCGAATTAATTCCGGTGTTCCAGTTCCTGGAGGATGAACAGGTAAGCACCAAATTAGACCCTTGGCACATTACTGCCGCGCTTTTGCTGCCTTGTGCGCAATTGTACAGTATTTTTCTCTTCGTCTGGCTATGCCACTTTGGCCTTTGAGAGTTGAGGAGATCAGACAAGTGTCAGAAACATGGATCTCTGGCCAGGGCCTAAGATCATGCCCAGCCTGTCCATTTGATTGGATCTTGCACTGTTCCTTGACCAAGGCTTCCGTGCCTCCGTGGCTTCTGAACCCTCACTGCACGATCTCGACTCCTTTCCGGCAGAAGATGTCAACAATATCCTTCACGCCCATGACCAGCTACGGCCTCTTTTGACTGGTATACTTCCTGCTGGCTGGAATCAAGCAGTTGAGCGTACCTTGGATGAATCTGTCAGTTGCCATGAAACTTGAACTTGGGAATGCTTCGTCGAATCAAACAGCTGGTCGAGTAGGACGGTGTGAGTCTCAGCCAAGGGTAACAACTGTGAAGTCCATTCAACTTTGACGTGACACTCAGCTTGCTTGTGTGCCCTTTGTTCAGGGATGTAACCCGCAATAGTTCGTAGTTTCACCAGGTGTTCAGAAAAGCGCTGATGACATCAAGATGCTTGTCTTCTCCTGCGTGGATGCTCCTGGCAACTACAAGGATCTTCAGCTGAGAGAGCTCTTCTTGTTTTTGTCCCAAGATGTTGCCCCAAACCACAAAAAGCAACGCCGCTTTACCAACTGCCAGGTCCCAGCTCCTTGCCCCAGTTCCTGCCATTCGTAGAAGACTGTAGGGCCTGCGTGCCTACCTTACGCCATTTGTCACTGCTTGTGTGCAAGCCTGTGATAGATTAACGGACCATTGGTCTTGCCAAGTCTACTGCACAGTGGCTACCGAACATTTTGAAAGTGTTCTAGGCAAGGGTATGGCTGTTCTACCGCTGTTTGATATCATTACTTTGCCATGCTGGGGGCCTTCCTGCTATGCCACAGTGCGTCGCCAGCCTTTGCTGCAATGCTCTCAATTGCGCTCTGCCATGTGCGCTGTAAGTCTGAAGGGATGTAACAAATCACGGCGCTTTAATTTTGTGCCTTTGTGGCAAAATACAAAGCCTCAGATTGCTGTTGCCAGATTAAGAGTGTGTAGGTATTGTTAGTTCGAGTGTTGGAAACTATCAGGTCCTTCCAACACTCTCCTTTCTCCGTCCTTAGTCTTGGGGTATCATGAGATTTTTGCAGCAACCAACGGGCCGAAGGAGAAGGATTTTGTGCTGTGCACCCTGGAGAAGTGGCGAGGATTAATGCTCCTGAGTTTGTTGAAGATGTTTGGTCCAGAGGAGCAGGTTCACGAGCAGGTGAAGAGAGAGGTCCTTGATGACTTGGGGAAAGTGCGCGACATGATTGGGAACCCGACGGAGAGACAAAGCGCGGCCGACACTCTTGTCAAGCTGGCACTCTTAGAGTTGAAGAGTTCAGCTTTCAATGAAGCTCAAAGACTATGGCAGCAATATCAATGCTTGCTGACCACGAGAAACTTCGAAGATGACCAGACAATCCAGTTGCAACTTGAAGACTTTGATTTCACAGGCCTCAAGGATCTCTTGGGAGAAAGACCGGAAAAGGAGAGCGCGGAAAGTACATTGAGCAAAACCTTCCATTTACGTCTTGGGCGAATTGAGTCGACTGTGCGGGAGCGCTTATCTTTGGCAAAGCGTTCTGTCCATGAGCCTGAGATCTTCGCCAGAGAGTTTCGAAAGCTGAAAGCAGCAGATGCAGAGCTTGGAGACTACTTGAAGCTCTACAAGGACATTCAGGGTAAGCGTCCCGTGTTCGACTTGTGTGTTAGGACTCGGGTTGGCATTGCTCTTCTTACTCTTGCATTTTCCAACTGGAAGATACAACAGCACCTGTAGGAAATGGACCTTCGAGCAGAGGTTGAAAAGGTTGGCGTGCATGGTGCAGAACATTTCCAGCTACTGTTGGTGAAGATCAAGGCTCGGAAGCGTTGAGCAAAGAGCTAAGCCACGCGATGGTTGATTGACCTGGCTGCTTCCGTTTCCTCCTCCTCTTCCTCCTCCTCCTCCCGCTTGGTCCTTCCGTTCGATTTGAGGATTTGAGTTTAGGACATGCAAGTTTTGATACTGTATTCACTTTGCAAAATTGTCTTTGACATGTTCCACTGTGACTGGAAGCAGCGATCAACTTGCACCGCTCATACACCCAGTTAGTATGTGAGGGGAAAAAACGATACGGCGCCGCGCCACGCAATGCAGGGTCATGAACGGTTTATTGACGTGTGGGTATGGGTGTAACGGAGTATTCTGCCCTTCGCTGACGTGAAGGTGTTTGAGGTAACGATGTATCGCCGCAGTGGCATCTCCGCACGTGTCTGCTTCCCAGTGATGACACGGATGAGTAGCGTCTCGGCGCATCGGCGTAGAACGATTTGCAAACGCGGTTGTTGCCATACACACTGAATGTCAATGTTCAGGCTGAGCTAGAGGAGAAGAACTACGATGCATGCTTGAACCATGCAGATGAGCTTCAATGCTTGGTTTCCAAGTGGGAAGGCGTCGACATTTTGACAAGAACTCAGCTTTCTGAAGCGGAAGTTGCGCTGAAAAAGGCCGGGTTTACACCGCGGTCTATATGATTTTCAAAAGCAAGGTCGGCTTTAGTCCCTTCATGTTGCATTTGCATTTTTTCATGGTACAACAACTTCTTGCATTAGCACTAGTTGCTTTCGGTTCCTGTGGCCGGCATTTTGTTTGTGCTAGCTTTGCAAAGGAGCCCCTAGTAGCGTCCTTGCTCCTAGTAGCGAGGCCAGGAGCCCCTAGTAGCTTCTTGTTTGTGCTAGTGCAAGTGCAATTCCTGAAACTTGACTGTGACCACACCTTGTGCACAAGCGCAAGGCCAAAAACTGCTTGGAACTTGTCAAGCCACTTGCGACAAACTTTTTGGAGATCGTGAAGCATATCAAAACTCGGTGTGTGAGTGTGTGGCGTGTGTGGCAGACTTGACCAACACTGCTCTTCCGAGCGCGTTTTCATTATGTGGTTATTCAGACACTGTTGCATGTGATAAAACCCTATTCCAACGCACGATGTTTGCTGCTTTGGATTGGTCTTCTGGAGTCTTCTGGTGGATGTTCGCAAAAACCACTCCTGATTCGGGTAGAGGTGCTTTACCGCCATGCTCGCTTATTCCAGAACTGGATTGGATATAAATAACTTTGCAACTCACCCCAAAAAGGGATGTATCCAGATCAAGTTCCCAACTGCTGGTGAGCAGATGGCAATACTGCGGACTTTTCTGCATCAAACAGGACTCCAAAGTCTCGTGCTGTACACGTGTGATCTCAAGTGAAACATATTAGCTGTTAGCACTCCTCCTCATCATGTTGAGCGCTCTCTCATTGTTTCAGCTCAGCATGATGATTCGTGATCCGGTTGGTACATTCTTTAGCATTGCTTAGTATTGCACCTTTCCAGATGCACTCTGGTGGCTTCATGTTTACGTCCTTCTGCCACCAGCCTCTGTTCTTGGTTCTCCAATTTCTCAATCTTCTCTGGCAACCTTCCATACAAGATCACATTGTGCTCTCCCACCTCTTCAACTCTTCCAAACTCCTTGTGTCTTCAGGATCTTCTGTCCTCTTCCTGCTGCTCCTCAGTGTTCTTGATGCCGGTCCGCTTGAAGGTACAGCACCCTGAGTTGCTGCAAGTAGCAGTGTGTCATGTCCACTGTAGCTCCCACTTGTTGTTTGAAGGTCTTCTAAGCTTTGTCTTGACAGGTAATTTGCTGCATGGGCTTCATTGATCACCCCATAGGCCTGTCTCTGCTTCCTGTCATGATCTTCTTCTTCTTCTTCTTCTTAAACCCACCGTTCAACATGAGTCCACCGTGAAGCCTTGGTGCATGTTCGTCTTCCTCCGTCCTGTCGACGTGGTTCTCCAGCTCTGTCATTCGCTTCTCCACTTCTCCCACTCGATCGAGCAGCAAGAAGAACAACGTAGCTGCAACTATCACGAAGCCGAAGTTCACCACAAGAAACGCGGTCAAGTTCCAACTCTCATTGAGCTCGACCATCACCCTCAGTACATGGATGGTCCTCCTGCTCTCACATTCAACCAAAATACTGGAGGCCCACAGCTGGAGGTGTGGTAGCTTCTCCACCTCGTGTGGAGGCCATAAAGAAATCATAAATTGAACCATAAAAAAATCATAAAAACATCATAAAAGAAGCATAAAAAATCATAAAAAACAACAAATCATAAACAAAATCATAAAAACAACATACATTTTCATAAAAAAACTCAATCATGTTATGTTTTTTTTTTTTTTAAATGATTTTTTTTTGTATGAGTTCATTTTTTTTTTTTAAATGATTTCATTTATGATTTTTTTAAATATTTTTTTACGACGCAAAAACTTGGATACCTACACGTCATCGCTCCACAGGGGTTGCCCACGCGGTTGAGACTAGGGTTCAAGTTTCGGGGCTGCTGGCCTGGAGCTGTTTGGGGTTGGTGGTCTTGAGCTGTTTGGGGATGTATTTCTGAGCTGCAAGCTAGAAGTCGTCATGTGAAAGGAATATATAATGGATCTTTACCAAGTAGGCACAAAGAGGAATATGCAGCATTTGAAAACCATCGCGCAAAGGAAGAGGTCGAGACCGGCAACATAACTAACCCAGTGCGGACGCATCCGAGAAGATTTTGCGCGATGTCGCGTGGCAGCTGCGCTAGAGGCGAACTGACACACACTTGCGTGTGGGAGCTACAAGCCAGAATATATGCATGGGTGGGAAAGGGTGTGCCCAAAGCTGACATTCTAAAGCTGATTGATTGGCAGCTCCAAGGATGAAAAGGCGCTCTCCACAGAGTTGATCCTGGAGCTCAAGCAGCTGCAAATAGGCCATCGACCTGATGTAAAAGAATCTCGTTGGGCAAAAAGGATATGGTTGGCTACATGTTCCCTACGGCATACGATGACTTCACTTCGACAGTCAGTATCATGTGTGAACATTTTGCTTTAGAATGGTTCACATGTTGTCCTAGGGGTTTCCCAACTCCAGCTACTTGTTGTGCTGCCAGTGTGAAGAGGCAACAGGTTTGGGCCATTTGCAATATTCAGTTGTATTCATCAACCATCTATTCTTAATGGTTAAGGCTTAAGGGCTCTTGCAACTCAATCTTCTTCCTTGCCAATGTTGCTATTTGTAAACAAGCATGTCAAACTTGCTTTGCCAGCTCAGCTGGAGCATTCTTGGCAGGTGTAGCATGTAGGACCTTCGCTTCAGGTTGCTGATTTTGCCAAGAGCGGTTGAGTACCAAACAAGTCAATTGGGTGATTTCTGAGGAGGCTTATAACGCTGCAGTCCAACGCATCGCCAAAGATCTGAACGGATGTCTTCACGACGTGAACAACATCGGGAATCCAAACTCTTATGAATTTGGCCACTTTTGTCACAGTTGGTATGATTTTTTTATTCTTTTGCAAGATGGGAGTTAAAACTTCGAGTCAGAGATTGCCGACTCAGCTCCGGTTGAGCGCATTCATTCCAAGTAGAATCATTGGTAATGCAATTCAGCTGCTTGTGGGGTGATGCTGCAGTTTTGCTCTCATGTTCAAGTTTCTGATGTTTTATACTTGACAATTTACAAGGCATCGCGGCATTCGAGCTTTTGAAGAGACACTTTGATGGTGGGTTGGGGGAACATTTTCCACAAGCTCGTGCTCAAGTTGAACAAGATTTGATGAAACTGAAGCAAGAGGTGCCAAGCTCAATGAAGTGCCGAGCAGTCCCGAAATGAAAGAACTTGACCAAACAGCGTGGAAGGATTCGTTTTGCAAGTTTTAACCAATGTTCTCCCAGCGCCACTGGTAGCAGTGCAGGCATTTTCACAAGGGCAACTTTTCTTTTGCCTTGCTTTTCGGAAGACAAACTCGCAGGAATCGCCTTCCTGGCGCCTGTTCGAAAACCATCTATGCATGTTTCCAGTATGAATCTTTGCCGGACTCTTTTTCTATGTGCGCAAATGCTACGACACACGTGTCTACCGTAGCCGTAGCATACACTATGTGTGAACGTATCATGTAAGTGTGTGATTGCGGAAGGTTAACATATCCCACCCCAACCCACCCCACGAAGGTGTGAGCGTGCAAGTGAAACATGAGTTGCGAAGTATCATGTGAGTGTGCGTACAGGTATCAAGTAAGTGTGCGTACAACGCCGTTTTCACGGGACGGAAACGAGTCTGCTGGCGCAAACAACCTGTATTGCGATTTTTGCCCACAGGTAGATGTTTTTTCGGGCTAGACTATAGCTCATTGCCAAACAGTATTTTTGGCAGCTGTTGGGAGGGAGGGGGGAGAACTGCTTTGTGTTTTAATTGGTCTCCACCCAGCCAAAAGCTCCTTCTATCTCTGCCTTTTTTGGCTCCGCGCTTTGCTGCTTCCTGCAATCAGTGTTTGGCGGCAAGCATTACCAGTAATGGACATGTTCAGCGCAGGCAGGCCAAGAGGAGCAAAGCTTGTAGCTTGTTGTGTTGTGCAGTGCAGCGCAGTACCAAGCCAGTTTTGCCAGAAAAGCTTCACCTTGAGAGCGATGAAGGGATCACCCTTGCGAAATCTCAGAAAGCAACAGAGCCTGCGAGAAAAGCAGCCAATTTAGATCCGAGCATATGACGTGGTTCAAAAAGGCTTTGGACGCTGTGCATCCGTATTGTACTTGCAATCCGCACTTCTTTCATGAGTATATTGTTCTAGATTGCCGTTGGCGGTGATCTCCAAAAACATATGCACATGTGCTTTATTGTCCTGTCACCCTCGCTAAGAATTCAAAGCTTTGTAATTAGTCAAGCCCCTCCTTTTAGACTTTATGTCACGTCTGGATTTGCGTCATTCACAGGGAGGGTACGAGAAATGAAGCTGACACTGAAGGTCGAATTGCACAACGAGCAGATACTCTCAAACCTCTACTCAGACGAGAAGAAGATTGAGCAGCTGCGACTTGAGTTGGACAAGTTGTCTTCCAAGCATCAATCACCTGAGTGGTGGGAGAGCACGTGGGAGAGCACATTGCAATTTTTTGGTGGTACTTCAAGAAAGAGTGCAGACGCTGCAAGAGCTGCTGACTACGCTCGGAAAAATTACTGTGCACTCCAAGCCAGAGTGAACAAGGAGATCATCGACCACATTGAAGAAGGCTTAAACGGCATGCAAGCAGGACACTTTGATGTGAGTGGAAGCGTTGTGAGCTTCCTCGAGCTTGTGAGCAGTCACTTGAGTTCGCATTTGGATGGATCGACGCAAGGTCAAATTGAGCGCTTTGAAGGTGAAGTGAAGAACATGTTTCAGAACAGGTTGGAGAAGCTGCTTAAGTCCTTCGACGGAGAGGATGCTCGAACAGCCATTGCAGAGCTTGGAGACTGGCCTTGAAAGAGCAGTTAACTGTCCGTAATTAGCTAGGAACGTAGAGTAAGACTTGCGTGACAGTAAGGCATGTTTCACATCCAAGAACAAGGCTTGCATTTCTAGTTCTTCAGGAATCAAGATTTCTCAGTTATGGATTCTGCCAGGAACATGTTTGGATTTCTTGCGCCACCTTTGCTTCTTCGTCTTTGACAGAACCGCGTTCCATGATGCGTTTCACAATTTTGTGGAAGGGCAGCTGAAGAGACTGGAGCAAGCAGTGTTGAGTTTGTCAGTGGGCGAGGCCATTTCTGCATGTCTAGACTTGCAGGCGCTTTGCTGTATCTTATCGACGAGGTTTGTGCTTTACAAGCGTGAAGTGGGAGACTTAAGATTGCGTGGCCCTGAAAGCTGGAAACGTCTCGTCGATCTGCAGGAGAGAATCATTGACGACGATCTTGGCAAGCAAGGAGAACATTTTGCCGTTCTGGAAGTTCTCCCTTCAATGCCGCTTCGGGATGGAGAGATCCACATGCCATGCTCAAAACAGGTCAAACAGGCCTACAAAAGGAAGGCCATGCGGTATCACTCGGACAAGCAGTATCAGTCAGGGACACGCAAGAAGAATTCATCAGATCACAGAGCCCGAGCTCGCATGAGCACTTCATTTGCAGAGCAGATGATGCGGAAGGTAAATGAAGCCAAGGAATTCTTAGAATGCGATGCCAACTGCAAAGGGTTTGGTGTCCGAATCCAGCGCCTTTTCGTAGACAAGTTGGGGGGTCTCAAGCCGCAGCTGCAAAGCCGTGTGCAAAAGCTCCTCAAAGAGCAAAAGTATTTGCAGCTCAAAATGCTCCTTCAAGATATTCGAACGGTTGACCAAAAGCTTGCTGCCAATATGAGTGTTTCGACTCGGGAGCTTGAAACCATCATCAAGGATAATCTCATCGAGGAGGCAAACAAGATCAGTCATGTTGTTGAGGAAGCATGGAATGCCAGACGGCTTCGGGAGCTTCAAGAAGAATTGAGCAAACTGAAGCAAATGAGACACGAGCTTGCAGCCTTTCCACAAATTGTGCCTGAGAACTTGATCAAAGATATTTCAAGGAAGATCAACGATGAGATCAAGGAAGAGGGCAACAGTGCACAGAGCTGCATCTTCTCATGTCACTCTTTGTCGCAGGCCATGGACAGCATCATGCAGTTTGGGAGACATCTCATTGCTTTGGGCCGCATTTGCACTCACCTGCGTGACTCCAAGATGACTGCAGAGCTGGAAGTAACCCACGCTCTGGAGAAATGCTGTCAGAAGAAGTGGGGGGTGAGCTTTCTGAATCAGCTGGGTATGAGACTGGGGCAGGGAAAGATAGGTGATCCCACTACAGATGATGCATTGATTGGAAGGGTCCTGTTGAGTTCTTTTCCGCAATTCGAGGATGTCAGAACAGTCATTTTCAACCGCGAGACCAGTGCTGCGCAGAAGGATGTGGCGGAGACACTAAAGGCTGCTTGATTGGTTTCGATGTGTGTTTTTGAATGGTGTTTTTGTATGTTTATGTTTTGACAGCACGGCAATTATTGATCCAAAGACTCCTGCCAAGGAAATTTTATCTTGGGAGATTGGACATGGTGCCTCACGCAACAAACGGTCTGTTCCCACCGCTAAGCTGATAGAGGGTTGGAAGCAGTACGAACAGAAGTTTGATGAATACAAAGAGAGATGGATTGCTTCAGAGCTGACACGAAAGACTCTGGCGGAGCATATCATTGGGACAGCATCCAAGCTCAGGGCGCAGCGCTGTGGCATGTGGTCCACAGAGATCAAAGAAAAGATTCCTGAGTTGCTGGCAGGCATTTTTGCTCTCTATGCCATCGTGAGATCCGGCACAGCGCACGCTTCGGCGGAGAAACCTTCCAACCAATTCTCGGCTTCTTCTGCTGACGCAGAAGCAGAACAGGTGCTTCCAGAGGAGCCTGAATAGGGCGTTCTGGCATCGATGAGTCCAATAAGATGGTCAGTTGGGCTAGGATCAGTTGAGAAAGCGTGAGTGCTTGTTTATAAGATAGTTAAGTCCAACAAATTGATGCCTTGCCATGCAGTGTTCCTGTTGAACCATGTTTCATGCAAGCCTTCTATTGCACAAGTCTATCAATTTCTGCGCAGGAGTTCCTTATCAAGCCTCATTGCATCCAGGTCTTGACGTTGCTGTGCCTCACAGGATATGGAAACCAACGGGATGAATTGGAGAATCACCTCATGCAAATTCGCACTGGCGAAGGGAAGTCCATTGCCCTGGGCGGCGGTGCAGCACTTCTAGCCTTGTTGGGGTTTCAGGTCAGATGCATTTGCTACTCAAAATACCTCAGCCAGAGGGATGAGAAGGCTTTCAGCACTTTGTTCGAGGAATTGCAGCTGCAGGGCTCCGGCCGTGAACGGATTGTGTACAGCACGATCACCCAATACAGTCACTTGCCAAGATTCATCTCTTTCATACCATGTGTAGGGACGGACCGTTCATGCCTTGGACAAAAGGGTGCTGTTCAAACTGTGCGACAGTGACACGTGAGTGTATTGAGCGGAGGTGTGAGGTGTAAGGTGTTCCAAGTGCACTTTCCTTCCAGTCTTGAGGGCGTCACCCTTGTGAGTTTGGAACTTGCACGAACAGATGAGGTGAAGACCTTATTGGCAGAAAAGGCGATGTAAGGAAGCTCACACTTGACTTGGTTGCTGACGGCAACCTCAGCCTCCAAGCAATGAAGCCAAGCACAGCTGAGGCCGGGTTCTTTCCGCGTGACCGTAGGCGGTCCTTTTCTGCTCCTAAAGAAAGGCTTCGGTATGCGAGTTTCAAACTTGGTACACTTCCAATTTGTGCACCACTTCTAAACACCTTGGTACACTTCTCGTGCACTCCAACCCTCAAAAGCTTGGTACACTTCTAGTTTTGTGCACCGGCACTCCCCGTCCACCGATTCGGTGGATTTCGGTGCCCTGTTCAGCTCAAGCCTCTCTCTCATGTCGTCTTGAACATGGTGTAGCCCCACCAGAGGTCCAAGTGGCATCCTTTCTTGCCGTTCCTCTCGTCCACGAGGATGGTCTTCCTCTTCGAGTTCAGGTGCCACGCCACCGTCATCCTCCACTGTCCCCACTCCTCTTCGAGCAAGATCTTGGACTCGAAGTCATACAACTTCTTTCTCTCCTGGTAGTGGACCCTGATTCCAATTGTTGTTTCACGCTAGCATAGTGTTATCTATGTTTCACTCGTGCTACTTTGGCTCAAGGCAAAACAGGTGCGATTAGTGGTGTTAGTCGGCTAGTCACTTGTAACTACAGGTTATCAGCCGTATCGCCATACGTGCGGTACGTGCTTGGTCCTAGCCCTGGTCTCACCCCACCCTAGATAGTGCACTGTCTAGAGGCCATGGCTGATGATGAAAGTTCCCGTGGTGACCGCTCACGTTCAGGCTACGTTCCCACTTCGCCTGCAATGTCCAGCTCACCTGCTCTGGAGCTCCCTGTTGTTCCGCTGGATTTGCGTGTGCCAAATGTGCCACCGATGCTCAGTGCACAGGGGGACCTGCTGCCTAGTGTTCAAGCTCCGTCGCCTTTCCAGCCTGAGTTCTCTCCTGTGATGAATGTCCAGAACGTTGATGCGAGACAAATTCATCAACAAGCACTCTTCGTCAATGAGGATAGGTCAGCTCAGGTAGCTCAGATTGCGGAATTGCGGCATCAGGCCATTTTGGCCGAGCATGGGCAACAAGTAGCAGATGATGCTAGGCAATATAGAGACTTAGTGGAGAACCAAGCTAGAGTGGCCATCCAGGAGTCTAGGGAACAAATCGAGGCTTTAGCCAATCAACGTTTGAGTGACATGAACCAAGCCCATCAAAACCAACAACTTCATGAACAAAGGGCTTATTTAGATCGGATTTCGCTCGAACGACACGCCGTCGTTGAGAACGAACGCGCCTCTGCCAAGCAAAGAGAGGATGCACTTCGGTCGGAGTTAGCTGAACAGAGTCGAATCATCAAGGAGTTGCGAGAGAGATTCGACAACGCCTCGGGGAACCGAGTGCCTGCGCCGTCAGTGCAGCCACCTGGATCCCAAGGATCCCCAGCTTTACCTCCAGCGAGCCTTCGCACTCAGTTGGAGAAGCCCGGGAACGAAGGCGATGACGAACCTCATCCATCCAATGCTGATGACGAAGGTGATGATAAGTCCAAGAAGGAAAAGAAGAAGAAAGGAAAGGAGAAGAAGAAAGAGAAGAGTCCAAAGAGGGGTCGATCAAGAGAGCGCAGGAAGAAGCGTTCTCCTTCTCCGTCGCCTTCATCACCTAGTTCATCAAGCGGAAGTGATAGCTCCGACGACTCAAGCTCTGAATCATCGCGTCTTGCACGCATCATCCGCAAGGAGCTGAAGAAGCAGCAGAGAAAGTCAAAAGACAGAGATCGTGAGAACAAGGCCAAAGAGGCTGACAAGGTTCTCATTCCCAAGTTTCCCACGCCTGAGAAGTACAGAGATTGGAAGATCAAGGTGAGGGACAACATTGCTGCAGCTTCAGCCAAGCCAGATGAAGCTCGAACATGGGTTGGGAAAGTATATAAGGATTCCCAAACCATTGACGCCTTGGACGATTCAGAGGGTTTTGCAACCCTTGACGCAAAGCTTCTAGCAAGCTTGACCAATTGCGCTGAGGGGGACCTTGGTCGTCAAATTGCTACCTTCAAGGAGCTGCGTGCTCGTGAAGACAAGAATGTGAAGGGAAGACATTTGCTCCTCCGCTTTCATGAGTACTTTGCAACAAGCATCAAGCATGGTGCAATCTATGGTCTTGAAGACCTTATGTCCGTCAAGATGGTCAATGACGACCTCAAGGGCTTTATCAACAAGTGGGACAGTGTCCTGGCCGGAATGAAGAAAGAACCAGAAAACAGTGTCCTAGAAGCTTACTTCCATCTGGCAGTTAAGCGCTTTAAACCCCTTGAGCATGACCTGGCCTTGTACGATCGTGCAGCTGATGGTAGTAAAGAAAGATCATATGACTTCTTGATCACAGCTGCAAGGGCCTATCTTGAACGGAGAAGGCTTGAAAGATGCGTGACGCCACCAAGCGTTCGCTCGGGGCCAAAGATACAGCCATGCCTGCTCCAGATGACAAGAAGGGCGTATGCTTTGACTTCCAAAAGACCGGAAAATGCAAGCGCGGATCATCATGTCCTTACAAGCACGAAAAGGGCCGCGAGAAAAGCAAAGGAAAGGGAAAGGGCAAGGATTCCAGTCAGTCTCGATCAAGATCATTGACGCCTGGGTCTCGAAAGGAGACTTGCAAGTTCTGGAAAGCAGGACATTGCCATCGAGGAAAAGACTGTGTGTTCCAGCACCCTGAAAAGACTGTCCCTGCGAAGAAAGAGGACAGGAAAAAGAAGAAGAAGAAAGATAAGAAACCTCGCAAGCGAAGCAGCTCACGAGGATCGTCAGGCTCCGACAACTCAACTGGCTCGGAGAGTCAGCGGAGAAAAGGTGGGAAATCTTCTTCTTCCAATGCACCGGCAGCAGTCTGCCTCCTTCGAGCAGTGGTCATGGCCGCAGTGGTCTCTCAGGGATCCTCCGTCCTCATCACTCGCCCGCTGGGAAGCGTGGCCATGCCGGTCCTTTCCGCGTCGAACACATTATGCACCGATTTTGACAACGCAGAAAACATTGACAGTTTTGTTAGACAGCAAGTTCGTTTTGATGATCAACCAAATGTTTTTAGTCATGCTGTTGAGTCTTCTTCCAATTGGCGGTCTGTTCAACCCCGAAGTAAAAGGAAACGGAAGACTTTCACACCAAATCGGCCGGAGTACATTGAAGCTGTTCGAGTTGCCACTGAAGATGCTTCCATTGCAGCCTCACACCTCCAGAACGCTGTTAGGAATGAGCTTTCGTCCATGCCGGCAGAGTGTTCATACCTGTGCAACTCTGACATTGGTTGCATTAAGTGTTTTGGAAGAGGCCATCGACATCGGTGCCAGCCACCGAGATCGCTTGGATAGCGGACACGGGCAGCGCTCATGATCTTGTGTCTAGGCACATGCTCCATTCCGATGAGGTGTCGCAATCATCCAAACCTGTAAGTCTTCTCACAGCCAACGGAGTATTCCAAGCTACTGACCAAGCCAGAGTAAATGTTCCCATTTTGGGTGATGACATCAATCCGTATGTCCTAGATGACAGTCCAGCCGTCGTGTCTGTGGGACAACGTTGCATCGATGCAGGGTGGAGTTTTCATTGGCCTTCTTATAGCAGACCATACTTCAAGAAACCAGACGGAACTAAAGTCAAACTTGAAGTAGATGACTATGTTCCATACCTGCCATCCACAACCGGTGTTGCGATGTCAGCCATAGGTCAACCTTATGGTGCAAATCAGCGGTCGGGGGGACCACGACCCATGATTCCCCTGCCTGCTACGCCGGCTGAAGAAGCGATTGAGGCCTATGATGATGATGAAAATCCATTTGGTGAAGATCCCGCTGAAGAGGAACCTGAACCATTGGATGAGAGGTTGGTAGAAAAGCCGTTGGACCCCAAACGGGACCGGGGGGAGACTGCACTGAAGGAAGAAGCTCAGTCAATTCAGCATCTGTTGACACACACACTCCAAAGAACCCCTTTTGTCAAGCTTGTTCCAGGGCGAAGATGACAAAACGTCCCTCATATAGCAAGGGAGGTTCTACTCCAGTTGATGCGGACCATTTTGGACAGCATTTGACCGCCGATCATCTTGTCATTAGGGACGATGAGGAAATGGACATTGATTGGGCTCGAGTTGCACTGGTCGTAAAAGATGTAGCAACCGACTTTAGGTATGTCTACCCGGCCGCCCGTCGTTCGACACGGGAGTGCATCGCCGCCTTCAAGCATTTTGTTCGATCTACTGATGAGGTAGGGGTGTTTTACTCTGACAACTCACCAGAGCTCATCGCCACTGCAGAGAGACTAGGATGGAGGCATCAAACTAGCTTTGCTTATGTTTCTAAAACAAACGCAATGGCAGAAAGATCCATCAGGTCTGTCATCGAAGGCACAAGAGTGAACTTGGAACAGGCTGGCCTTCACCATCAGTATTGGGCACATGCTGCGAGACATGCATGCATGGCAAACAATATCGTCGACGCCCGGGAGGGTAGTTCGCCTTGGTTTCAACGGTTCGGTGAGAAGTTCAAAGGACCGTTGGTTCCCTTTGGGTTGAGAATCGACTACTGGATCGGTCCCAAAAACAAGGCCAAATCCTCTCTCATGTTTGAACCGACATCAAACCCTGGAATCTTTTTGGGGTACGCCGTTCAGTCCAATTTTGTGTGGAGAAAGGAGTTCATGGTTCTCCCATTGAAGGATGTCATGGAATCAGACTTCAGTGCCGAGATCCAACCGCTGAGAGTTCATCAGATTGCTGTTCCAGACATCGGTTTGCGCTTTCCATGCAAAGGTAGGTACAACATGATTAGAGAAGGGTTGTACCCAGGCAGTACCATTTCAAGCAATCCACCGTCGATCGATGATGTCAGAGCTGCAAGTGTTGAGGATCTCGTTGATCAGGAGGTTTTGAAACATGCCGTTGAACATGAGTATGAACCAGATGAACCACCTGAGCTTCCAGATGCTCTTGTTGATGAAGCGCCTGCAGTTGCTCGCGGGTCGGGAGACCTTGCCGACGAACCGGGGGGTGAAGAGGTTGAAATGATCGAGGTTCTGGATTCTGTCACGGGTGAAACGAGCTTGATCCCCAAA